CTACATTTAGTATTAAGAGCTATAATCATGCGAATAGATGTGAAAAGGAGAAAGAATTTATAATGATTGTTGCTGATGACACAGTGATATTGAAGGCATATGCAGGCAGCCTGCCATCATTTAAGGCACATGAAAAAACATTTCCTATTTGTGTATACAGATGCAGAAAGATTTTAATAACCCACCTAAATGTGGAATGATGATTGGTCAGTAAGTGACAGCAGATATATTAAAAACCAAATCTATAATTGTAAGTAGATTTTTTAGGTTAAGATGTTGGACCACACAGAGAAGATTCAGATTCAAGCCCACCCCCATGGAAACTCACTGTGTGTTGTTTGGACCACTCACTCTCTCTCTCAGCCCAATTTACTTCAGAATAAAGTTTTTGTGGGGGAAAACATACCTTGTTTGGAGCTCCTGAAGAAAAGGAGGGATATAAATTTAAGAATAAAAATCAAATATACATATAAATGAATGGACACTCAGATAAGCAGATAACACCCCCCCAGTTGTATTCTAATATCACTTCATTCACAAATTAAGCCACATGATTACAGTACATGCACTTAGGATTCCTTGAAATAACAGTATTATGTAGGTAAATGGATTTACTTATAATTATATCTATATCATCTAGTTTCAAGAAGAGGTAGAATGCATATAATTTCCCCCCAAAAAATCTCTTTGCAGGTATAGCTATAGTAAATTATTAGGTCAAATAGCATAAGGCTGGTTTTTTGTTTTTTGTTAATTACACCCATATTCTATACATACATTCTTTTATGTGTAACACAATTTTAGTGTATAATTCTTATTTTCTTAATTCAAGCTATCTTGTAGTATACAGTGGTAAGCTATTTTAGAATGGAATCTACATATTCACTATATCACAATTTTTTCCTTAAACATTTCTGATTGAAGATCTGTATATTCTCTTGATTATATGAAATCAATCCATTGCATTGAATCATTTGTTCAGGAACTCAGTGAAATCTTCATGGCTGGCTGGGATAGTTTAATAAATCAGAAGTTCCTTTTCTGCTTTAGATATAGGTTTCTGCATTCTGTGCTGTTGGATTAGCAAATTTATAATGGCTGCTTCAATTATGTTCACGTTTTGATCATGAATTAGTTATAAATTATATAAAAGGTATTTTTTGTCATCCACTATTCCTTAGTGGAGACTTTGTGGTCTGAGAACCCCTGAATAAAGCTGTCAGACCACCTTCTAGCAGAGCACCCATTTTTCAGAAAGGGCACCCACTCTGCCTGGATGAACTAGCTGTTGGCTTTTCTAAGCAAGGAGGAAGCAGAGACTGGCTGCAAGCCATACTTACACATTCAAAGCTAGGTCACTGTCAGAACTCACTCCCAGGGCCTTTGAGCTTTTAGCAACAACTTCTGCAATAACCCTGTCACGAGGCATTGTCCCCTTGTATGACATAGAAGAGGCACAAAGTTTGGGTTGTCTAGAGCAAGCAAGCAGACTCAGCACCATGACTCAGTATAACATAAGCCATAAAGAGTCATCCTTAGAGGTGAGTGAAAGTGAAACTAGTTAAGAGTGCTTTGATCCTGGCTGGGTAGTCTTGGGTCAGGAGTTGATAGGAGCTCTGGTTGTAGGTTTGAAGATGGTTGAAGAGAGCCTAGACATCTGGATGCAGCATGTGGCCCAGTCTAGTACCTGTACAGTAGCTTGGCAAAGGCCTCCTGAATCCGGCAGTGCAGGAAGAAATGCAATTCCTCTGCTCCAAGGGTTACAACTCAAAGTTTGAGAAACCCTGTTTTACTGTATATAGTAGTGCATCAAGCCTCAGTAGCATTCAGTGAGTTCACAGTAAATTGTTTTTAAGGAAGGAGCATTTGCTGTGTTGCCAGCATATTCTGTACATTGAGCCTGGCTCTTTGTTTATTCCAAACTAAATTAAGGAAAATATAAACTTTTATAACTTTATATAATAGTACAGTGATTGTACCCTGGCAGGTAGATGTATTTTAATCAGCAGTTCAAAGTTAACCACTTTTAATGTCTCATTGATACCAGTATATATTTATAGAAAGAAAGGGGTGCTTAAGTCTGTAGCAGGGGTAAACTTCAGAAAATTAAATTGGACATCCAGGCAGAGTGGATCTGATTTATATCTAATTGATTTAATTAATGATTTAAATTTCTAGTCAGAAGACTCAGTTTAATGATTTAAGATATTCATTAGTCAGGAAGATTCTGTAATCTTTTCTAATAAAAATGTATTCTTCTTGTTTGATGTAATCTGAATATATATTCTGCAGTACTCAGATGTTCATTTTTAAAATATACATATATAAATCAATTGTCAGTATTTTCAAATTAATTTTAATTTAAAATGGAAAATTATTGCACATTTATGAATTCATTAGGAGTTAAAGCAGCCCCAGTTCAGTAAGAGATGTTTGAAAGATCCTTTCGCCCTGATGTGCCAGGAGAACAACTATCACCAGTTTTCAAGTTTATTAATACATGTAATAAGAAAGACGGCTGGCTTGCTTTAATTAAAACTGGATGTGCTTGGTTTTTTAAAGCATTGATTGCTGAATTTACATAACTTCCACTAAATCACTGGCGTGATTTTTTTCTTGACTGAATCTCCTAAACAGTTTTTGCCTGAAATTTATTGTAAATGGTATCATGTACATTGGTTTGCTGGATGTCTCTGTGATACCAATTCTTTTCCAGAAGTTGGAAGTACTGAGTATTGAGAATATTGGCTAGAAAGTGTGCTGAAGATAGTCTTTTTCCATTTCTTAATGGCTGTTAAACTGTTAGTTTCAAACTTCATAAGCCCTCCCCCTCCCTGGGGGGGAGAGGACTTCTTTGCACTTTATTCAAGTCAGTATGAACAAAATTAAGGATTGTTACCAAAGTTTTGTCCCCTGTTGGTTCTATAACCATGACATCCTTAAACAATCCAATCATCAGCCCATTCATATATTCTTACTGATGGAAAATAAGGCAATACACAGCATCATTTAAGTATGCAGAGTATCTGCCCATTTTCTCCAGGAAGTACCAAACATATCATGAGAATGTTGGGAAATCTTCATGACATCACTGCCTTCTTCCCCATTGGCCGTTTGGATGACAATAATCACGGTTCAGGAGATGCGTCCTTTGTTACAGGCCTTTGCAGGGAGTCTTGATATGGAGAAGCTTTTTTGACTGCTCTTTCTCTCCAGCTTAAGAACTAGATATTCAGTAAGGGTCAACTGATCAGATAAGAGAGGTTCTCACAAGACAGCCAACAGAGTTAACCCTGTGTCACTGCCTGTTTTTAGTTATATTTTCTCTCCCAATGGATAGTTGCCTAGGTCAACTGAGCTTTCTTTGATGTGTCCAACAAAGAGGCCATTGTAAACTTTGACCCCGGTAGTTCCATTCATATTTTCATACTTTTATTCACAAGTGCCTGTTTCAGTAGGACACTTCTTGATAGAGAGCTTCAGTTTAATAATGTATTCCATCAGACATTTTGTTAGAAGGTTTGATTTGTTCTCCACCTCCCACACTTTCTTTGTAACTTCTTATGCAAATTGATTATTGTGAAATACTTTGCAACATCTACTATACTAACTGGTTTTTTACAGTAAAATAGTACTCCAACTGTATGCTATTAATTTGAAAAGTCCATCACTTCTAAGTTTTGTATATCAAAGCTATATGTGGCATTATCTATACCTATTCCTGCAAGGTGGAGAATTTTTTGCAGCTTTAGGGCTGATACACAAGGTCTTTCAGTCTTACTTAATGTGGATGGATCACTGCTGTCAG